ATGGTGGGTTGAGCAAGGTGAGCCTGCCGTGGAAGTAGCAAAAGATTATTCTGCTACCTTTGGCATCCCTTATGTCGATGTTGTTAGATTTCGGGAAAACTCCACCAATTGGAGTGTATACCATTGATCACTTTATATAATGTTATAAGCCTAACCCTAATCACGTTAGGGAATCTCATAAGATAATTATACAAAATATATACAAATATATTTGTAATACCCAGTATTTTTTAAGTCACTTATTATTAACTATGGATTTTTCCGAAATATTTTATTATTATACAAAAATATCAATATGATTTTATAATTATATTTTATAAAGATTTTAATTATACGAGTCAAGTCAAAGTTTGTCGTATCCAAATCAAATTTTCAACCGTTAATAATTTGTACCTGATTTAGACGACAAAGTACAAAATTCGCTATTATACACGAGTTCAATTCATATGTGTAGTACACTAGTACTACACACAAAAAAAAAAAATAGTACATCCATTTACCTAGCATTCTACTTCAATATATATAATAATAATAATAAATAATTAAAAAAAATTGAGCATATTGGCAAGGGGGAGGGGGGGGGGGAACCCACTTGCCCACTTGCCTCCTTCATTGATGAAGGTTAATCAAGGAACAATACTTCTCTATAAATAGCCATGAAACATGAGCTATTTCATCACATCTCCTACTTCTCTTCTTACTTTCCTTCTCTTTTCTTCTGCCTCCTCCATATTCACCTTCTTTTAGCTTTCACCTTGTGGTCTTGAGCTCTTCACGAGCACCTCCCCACTGCCACCACTCGACCACCACCTTGCGGCCACCTCCCTCCTTGTTGTTGTTGACTGTAAGTCCCAAGCTATTGCCATACTTCTTAAACTTATGTCATGCACTACTACTACTCTCACCTAAACTACTACTACTACTATTACTCCTATGTTCTACGTACTACTACTACTACTACTACTACTACTACTACTACTTCCTATTGTTGTTGTTGTTGTTGTTGTTGTTGTTGTTGTTGTTGTTGTTGTTGTTGTCAAGTGTTAATTTTATAAAAGGGTTATAATAATAAGTTGTTCATGCACAACTAGTAAAGTCGATAGTTTAAGTCTTTGGGTCTATGAGTTGAAAAGTATTTGATTAGGGTTATTGGTGTGTTGTAGGAGGAATTTCCAGTTCGTAACTAGGAATCCCATGTTTGTTTTGCAAAGATCAAGGTACGTACACGTGACTATATTTTTTATAAAGTGAATTTTATATGCAACGTGATTTACATGTTAAGTGATTTCGAACCATGTTTAAATGATTGTGAAATATATTTCGGCGAAACATGTTTTAATTGTTTGATCTCAAATATTGACATATGTTATATGGTTCATTACAAACTTGTACTGATATTAAAGATGTTTAAAAAGTAAGTTTATTGCTTAAATTATCCTGAGTATGGGATATTGGGAAGTTTATTTAATAGGATTTATTCCTTGGATCTTTGGATTTTTAACTCCCACTATGCGGAGTTAGTTGAAGACTAGGGACTTTGTATGACTTAGTCTTTCCTCTTGATAGCACTATGTAAATGAGTTACTAGCTTGGGGGGTGTGCACACTTAGATGGGAAAATGATTTATGAAAATATGGATTGATCCATCCTATTCAGAATTATCTTTGGAAAGTTGGTTATTTCGAAAATTGGTCCTTTTGACAAGCTTTTATACATGAATTTTCTATTCATGAATGGTTTGGATAAATTATGATTTATGAAATTTAAATCTCTTCAAAAGCATGTTTAATTAATTAGAATGATTTACATGTCTAGCATTTGTATGTACTTAGAATTTTGGCTAATACGTATTTGTTTTGTTTTGGCTTGACCTTACTTATCATTTTGATAAGTAGATAGGTGATGGCGATTGGACAACGTGAACTATATGTTGCATTGGGAACAATGGGCGGTGATCACCTAATTTAATTTTGTAAACATAGTATTAGTGTTGTAGTTACTTTGGAAGTATTTTAAAACTATTACTATTACTATTATTATTAATAAAAGATAAGTATTGTTTTCCGCTGTAAAACTCTGTTAAAGCCTTACGTAATCACGTGGCGGTAATACTCTCAAGTTACTCCCTAAAGTTGGATTATTATTGTTAAATATTAGAGAGTAAATTGGGGGTGTTACAATATTCGACAAATATTATCTAAATATAATATCTATCACACTTCTGCAGTCATAGCGGGAGGAGGTCGTACGCTAATACTGGATTTGAAGTCGAGGAACAACTCTCGGGACAAGCGTTTAATGAATATGTCTGCAAACTGATACCTGGATGGAACATGAAGAACACGTACTTTGCCCAAGGCAACCTTTTCCCTAACAAAATGGATGTCCATCTTCACATGTTTGGTGTGTTAGTGTTGAACTGGGTTGCTAGTAAGGTAGATAGCGCTGACATCATCACAATAGGCAATAGTAGCATGTCGGAGAGGATAATGTAGCTCCAATAAAAGATTACAAAGCCAACACGCCTCAGAAAAAACGTTTGCGGCGCCTCTATATTCTGCTTCTGCACTTGATTTAGATAAAGTGGGTTGATGCTTAACTGACCAAGCCATGAGGTTGCCCCCTAGAAAACAACAATAACCCGATGAGGAATGTCAAGTGTCAGGGACAACCTCCACAGTCAGCGTTAGTATAAGTAATTAAACGAGTGGTAGCAGATGGATATAAATGTAAGTCATGATCAATAGCACCCTGAATATAACGCATAATGCGTTTTAGCGTATCAAAATGTGTTTCCGTAGGATCGTGCATAAATTAACACCTGTTGTACCACATAAGCAATGTCAGGACGAGTAAAAGTGAGATATTGTAAAGCACTTACAAGGCTGCGATACAAAGTAGGATCCTAGAAGGGAGATCCCGAATTTGCACTAAGTTTAGACTTAGTGTCAACTAGAGTGGCAGCAGGTTTACAAGAGCTCATACCTACACGCTCTAAAATGTCCCGAGCATATTTCTGTTGAGATAACAACATGTAAGAGGGAGTGCGTGTCATTACAATGCCCAAAATTTAACTCAATGGTCCCAAATCTGTCATAGGAAACTCTCTTTGCAATCTAGAGATAATTCCAGTAAGCAACCTGTTAGAGGATGTAGCTAGAATAATATCATCAATATAAAGCAGTAAATATGCCATATCGTCACCTTGTCGAAAAGTGAAAAAAGAGTTATCACTTTTGGCAATGACGAAACCTAACTTGAGTAGAAAATTCGCAAACCGCTGATACCAAGCTCGTAAAGCTTGTTTCGAACCATAGAGAGCTTTGTGAAGTCGACAAACATAGCTAGGTTTCCTCTGATCAACGAAACCCGGAGGTTGGTGCATATATATTGTTTCCTGCTAGTCATCATGTCAAAAAAAATTTTTACATCTAGCTAATGAATGGATCACTTTTTAGGCAAAGCTAAACTGAGTACTGTGCGAATAGCTGCCGGTTTGACCATCGGACTAAAGTTTCATCACCATCAACTCCAACTTCAACCGACCTGTAATCACATACAAGACGAGCTTTGTGCCTTTCAAAGTCACCATTAAACTTGTATTTATGCTTAAAGAGCCACATACAATTAACAATATTCACCCTCATAGGCCTAGGTACCAAATCCTAAGTCCTTGTTTTAATTAAAGCATTATATTCATCAAATTTCGCGGCATTCCAATTATGGTCCTGTAGAGCTTGTTTGTGATTTTTGGGTAATGGGGATTTATGCTCAATGGTCAAGTGTGCATACTTAGGATTTGGCTTTATAATGCCATGACGTGACCTGGTCTGCATTTGGGGTGATGAGAGAGTATTGGGTCTAGAAAAGAGGGTGGATTGGCGACCTGTAGGAGTGGAGTGTGCTAGGCTAGAGGAAGCACGTGAAGGCTGGGCGGAAATGTGGGTAGGACTCGGCCCAAGAGTAGGGGAGCCCAAAGGGACAGACCGGGGGGGTTGCGAGGGATCCAGGGCTCGGGGATCCAGCGCCCGTTGACTCGCTGGTTTCCAGCACCCAATGGGGATGGTGGGTTTGCAGTTTGGGCTTGAGGGTTGTGATGTTGAGTGAAAGAATTAGGCTTCTGCATTAGAAAATGTGTTAGAAGCGGTGATCTTTCATCATACCCCAAAAACTCAGTGTATTAAAGTAAAATTCTCCGGTTTAAAAGACTCGTTGAAGTTTACGTGACGAGAAATAATAATCTTGCAAGTGGCAAGATCTAGGCATTTGTAACCACGATGATTAGAAGGATACCCCAATAAGACACAAGGTGTGGACCTAGGAGAAAGTTTATTAGGAGCAGTAGCCGAGAGGTTTGGGAAACAAAGACATTCAAAAACCTAAAGGTGATCATAAGATTGATTTTTACGAGACAAAGCTCGAGTTGGGGTCATATGATTAAGAGATTTTATAAGAGATTTTGTGGGTAATATGTTGAGGAGATATGTGGATGTCTTAAGAACATGGGACCAATAGTTAGGAGGGAATGCGACATGAAACAAAAAAGTGCGTTTGACATTATTAGTGGTTCTAATCATGTGCTTGACTTTCCCATTTTGAGAAGAAGTGTGAAGATAAGAGGATCAAAATACCATTCCTTGTTCTATGCAAAACTTTTTGAAAGGGTCGTTGTCAAATTTGCGACCATGGTCGCTTTGAAAAGATTTAACAGGACATTCAAATTGAGTTTGCACATATTGTTTAAAATGAATAAAGCTTTGGAAGGTTTGAGATTTGTAAGCAAGAGGGATAGCCCACACATAATTATTAAAATCATCAAGGATAACCAAATAATATTTATGACCATATATGCTCCGAATAAGAGATGTCCACAAATCAGCATGAATAATGTTAGAAGGAGAAGAAGTATTATTATTTGAATCATAAAACAAAAGTCTAACATGTTTTCTAATCTGACATGAACATCAAAAAGAGGGGTCGTGCTCCTTATTATAAAAAATTTAATTATTGCTCCTAAGAAACTTTAAAGAAGAAGCCCCGGGATGTCCTACATGATCATGCCACGGGGTGACTGCAGTGAGAGATGTGGCTAGGCATGTGCTTGGAGTATTTGTGGTGACTAGATAAAGCTCCCTGACACTATTGCATCTCGTTATAACCCTCCCCGTACAAATATCCTTCAAAGATAAACCATTAGGGTCAAATTCAATAGACATCGAATTATCAGAAGTATATATACGCACATAATTAAGATTTTTGATAATTTGTGGTGCAAGAAGAACATTATTGAGCCTAAGAGAATTATTTGGAAGGATTGTGTGATCATAACCAGTAATTGGAATGTGATGACCATTGCCTACTAAAATATGGTTATTAGTGCTTAAATTAAAAAGGGGAAGGAGTGTATCGACATTGTTCGTCATATGAGAGGTTGCACCCGAATCCATGTACCATCTGTTTTCAGGAGTTGAGAAAGTCATTGACGAATATGCACTGCCTAATTCCGTTAGAGTCATCGGTGGCCCGTAGCTGGCTGGGCCATTGGAGTAGGCTTGCTGGGGTGGACGGGTGAGGATGGGTTGAGGCTGATATTGTCCTACTGTAGGGAAGGAAGAAGGTGGCACGACCCATGCCTGTTGTTGCTGCCAAGCCTGCTGAGAATTGGGCCATTGTTGCTGCTGGGCCCAAGGCTCCCCAATACGGCTGGCTATTACTGCCATTATTGTTGCGGGTTCAATTGCTGCTGGTAGTTTGACGGGGCGCCATGGCCTTGACCGCTGCGATCGCGATCTTTGCAGCTCCCCTTCCCACCGCCACCGCGGCCTTTCACGGAGGTGCTGCCTTCCCCGTCGCCTGCGAAAGGTGGCTGCTGTTGTGGACATGAGTCTGATTGTTGTTGGGACGGCTGCTGTTGGACAACAAACGACTGTTGTGGTGGTGATGAGTCATAGTTCCGACAAGTCTCTTCCGTTAAGAGTCAGGAACGCGCTGTGTTGAACGATGGCAACGGATCATTTTGAGCGATCATGGTAGCCACCATATCCAAGTCGATCTTGTTCAAACCTGTAACCAAACGGAGAACCATCTTCTTTTTGGAGACGGGCTAGTCTACATTGGCCAATTGATTAGCGATGCTCTTCAATTGCTGACAGAAGGCAGTAACATTAGAGAAGTTATCAAGATGAAAAGTATTGAATTAATTTTCAAGGTACACTGCCTTCATACTCTTGTTATTTTGAAAAACATCTTTGATACGGTCCTAAATTTGCTAAGTAAAAGATTTCAGAGCCAAAACGATATTAAGATCAAGCGATATTGTTCCGTAAATCCATTGTTTACTAACGCATCTAAACGAGTCCAAAGAGCATTAGAGAGATGTCAGTTGGTTTCTGTGTTTTGGGATCGATATGGTCAATGAAAGCACACACATGGCTCTCAAACAATTCAACCCAACTGGAATATTGAACATTAACATAGTCGAGGGTAATAGGGCTGGGTGAAATTCATTCACTGGTGGTGGCGGTGGTGGAGGATGAGCGTCCCCATCTTTAGTCATAGTTGGGGGCTAAAATAAAGAACCGATCACTGAAGCAAGAAGGACGGGCAGTGAGATGTAGCGAAAGCAAGAAAAAAATAAAAATAAATCTAGGATCTAAACCTAAAGATGTGATACCATGTTAGATTTTGGGAAAACTCCTCCAATTAGAGTGTGTACCATTGCTCAATTTATATAATGATACAAGCCTAATCCTAATCACGTTAGGGAATCTCATAAGATAATTATACAAAATGTATACAAATATATCCGACAAATATTATCTAAATATAAAATCTATCAGATGTGTTGTCGGATTATCCTAGCAGGTCTCCATATTTGTTTTCCGAGGAGGACTATGATCCAAGTGAGGTAACTGTAGCCTTCTCACAGGGAGACGGTTTATTTAATAGGCACCTTTTAAATGTTGTATTTATAATAATGGAGGTTGCAAAAGACCAAGGCAATGAAGATCGCAATCACCAAGGCAACGTACCACAATATCAACCGATTGGGAGAGGCCTGTAGGCTTATGGGTTGAGGGCGGTGTTTAGACACCACCTAGACCAAATTTCACGGTCAATGGCTCAGCGATATAGTGTAACCAGTCAATATGTGGGGTACACTCCTGATGACCGGGACACCCCCGCGACTCCACATTTGGGGTGAACCGCCGTGTATTGGGATTTATTGAAGCAGGGAATGTGTTTTCCCCTCCTCCCATTTGTAAGGACTTTGTTATGGGAGTACAACATAGCCATTTGCAATTTGACACCAAACTCTTGGCTAAAAGTGTACTCCTTTTTTATGGTGTGTTCCATGATAGGACAATCTTTGACTCTTAAGGATTTGGATAAACTTGTTCAAGTTTATCCCCTCCAAAGATAATTTTGGTACTAGTTGGTGGGAATTTCGCATCCGCAATGGTTTCAAAGTGGTGCGAGATCAAAGATCAACCGTCAAAAATTGGTGTGGTTAGTTTATGTTTGTTTTCTATCGTAGTTAGGACATCCCATTGGTTCCGAATTTAGGGGAACCTAACTTGAGTTTTAATTACGACGTTCCTCCAATGACGAAGAAGGAGGCTGTGGTTGTGCTTTGTCTAGAAACTCAGGGTTTTGCGATCAAAGGCGTTACCCATGACCTGGATACCCGACCGGGCCTTTCTAGACGATGAGAGAAAGCTTTGTACAGTAGGTCTTGGCTTCCGCTTTCAGGGTTTGATGGGAAGGGGTCTTTCGCACGTATTATAATTATGGATGTCTTTGCATTGTTGTTTAAATATCTTCCAACTCTTGTGCAGCTCTTGGATTCATGGATTCAAAGGCGTTGAAGAACCTGAAATTCCTAGCCCCGCAAGCTGCCACGATGAGGAAGCTATCAAAAAAGGTAACTAGGGAGATACCTCCCCCACCTTCGGTATGTTTTCTTTGTTGACTTTGAATGCATTTGGTGGTTTGAATATCAGTAATCTATAATATTTGCAGATGACCCAAGAAAGAGTTACTTCAACTGCAGTCGAAGTATTAGGGCAAAGTTCCCCTACGGTCATGGGGATCAGGAATGTCAGCCTACAATAATGCAAGAAGGAAATGATCAGATGGTTTCATCTCCTCATCGTCCATCAAGCCCCAAAAGGAAGAGGCGCGATAACGGCAGTAGTTCATCTAGTAAGGCCTCTTTTTGGAACCTCAACAATTCGGGTAAGGAGGCGCGTGCCGAGTCGGCCTTAAGTCACCTTTACTCGAGTGTTGATGCGGACCATTTCAGAGACTTGGATCCCCAAAATGAATTTAGGATCATGCAGCTGTCGTGGGCTGAGGTTAGTGGCCCATTTTATTTATTTATTTATTTATTATTTTTGTGTGGTAACTAATATGCCTTTACTACAGTTTTCAGTACAGGCCGCCGCATTTGTAAAGCATGGGTTTAGTGTGGAGCGTTTGACCCAAGAGAGAGAACAAACCATCCAAGAAGCCACCTCGTTGAGGCAGCATGTTGCGGACCTAGAGTCGCAACTTGAAAATATTAAACGCCTTCGGCAACAGGGTATCTGGAAAATGAACCGGATCAGGAGAGAGCGGAAGGAGGCTATGGAAAAGTTGACTGCGGCTCTGGCAGAGTTAGAGTCGACGAAGGAAAATTAAGCCAGCGTTGAGGGGCAATTGGCTAGTGCTCAACAAGAGATGGCAGAGGCTTGGTTTCAAGCAAAAGATGGTCGGGAACGTCTTGTAGACGAGAGTATTGAAGCGAATGAATTGGGCCAAGAAACAAGTGTTCGTCGTCTCTAGGCCGCCTTTGAGCTTGTTCACCCTAATCTCCAGTTTAGTCTTGTCTACGATAAGTACCAAGAAATTCGTCAGGGGGAGCTTGATGAAATGATGAAAAATTTCTCGGTTTGTGATGAAGAGTCGAGTACTGATGACCAACCCTAAGCGGGCAATAATCAATACCTAGTGGGTAATGATCAATACCATGTGACGAAAGCAAACTGTTCTCAGGAGGATGCCTCAAGCTCTCACTCGCACCATGACTAATTTAGCGTTTTATTGTTTAATTTCCTTTTGTTCGTGTATTTCTTTGTTCCTATGAAGACTCGCTTTGAAACTAATTGTGTTCTGGAAAAATTATGTCTATTGTTATGCAATTATGTTTTGGTAAAATTATGTTCATTGTTACGTTTGATGCCCCTTGGGTATATTGAGCCACTTGTATGGGCGATGATATGTTTGGTGCTTCTTGGGGCTATTGAGCCCCTCGGATGGGTGATGATCTGTTTGGCGCTCCTTGAGACTGATGAGCCCCTTGGATGGACGATAATGTATTTGGCGCCCCTTGGGGTTACTTAGTCCCTCGGATGGACGATGATGTGTTTGGTGCCCCTTGAGGCAAATGAGCTCCTTGGATAGACGATAATGTGTTTGGTGCCCCTTGGGGTTAATGAGCCCCTTAGATGGACGATGATGTGTGTGGTGCCCTTGGGGCTATTGAGCGCCCCTTGGGATGGGCAATCATGGAAAGCTTTGATGTATGATTTATTGACTTGTAACTTTGAAATGGAAAAATGAATTTTGCTATTCATGGAAATTGATTACTGTTGTGCCAACGAATGCATTTATTTCCTGAGCAAACGTCTTACAATGATGAAATGTTCACATAGCTTTTATAGCATCCATGTCCCATAAAAAATAAACTAAATTGAATAATGAAAAATGAAAAATATGAATAAAACATAAAACCTTATAAGGTTCTCCGCGTTCCATGACCTTTTTAAGGCTTTGCCTTGGGAATTCTTAAGCGAAAAGTCCCTTATGCGACTTGCTCTGTGACCTTGTAGGGTTCGTCCCAAATGGGCGATAATTTTCCTAGCACGGGCTTACGACCTGTGGCCTCTATATTGCGTAGCACCAATCTCCCACTCTGATTTGCTTCTCTTTGACCCTCCTGTTCAAGTAACGCGTCATTTTCTGCTTTTGTGTTATTGATCGGAGTAGGGCCTTGCCCCTACTTCAGGCAATAGATCTAGATCCATGACTTTGTTTGATTCATTTATGTCATAATCATAGAATGCGACCTTAGGTGAAGGGATTCTTACTTCGAAAGGTAGCATCACCTCGCTGCCATAAACGAGAGTGAACGGGGTTTGTAAGCCATGGAGTATGATTTTTTTTCGCGGCTTTGGTTAGGCCATTTGCTTGAGGATGAGATGCAGTACTAAAGTTTGTGTGTATTCCAAACCTCTCGCAATACTCAACAGTCGGTCGACTGTAGAATTGCCTCCTATTATATGACACAAGACTTCTAGGCACCCCGAACCTTTTGATGATGTTGCGCCATATGAAGTTCTGAATTTGCTTATCAATGATTGAGGCTAAGGGTTCGGTATTGATCCACTAAGTGAAGTAGTTTATAGCGACCATGAGAAATCTTCTTTGCCCCGAAGCTGATGGGAACGGTCCGAGCAAATCCATGCCCCACTTGTCAAATGGTAGGGTGGCGATGATTGTTTGCAACAGGATCGAGGAGAACCTTTGCACATTGGCAAACTTCTGACACTTGTCGCACTTTTTCACTAACTTGGTTGCATCTTCCCTTAAGGTATGCAAGTAAAACCTTGCCTTTAGTGCTTTTCCTGCTATGCATCGAGCCCCCTGATAACTTCCACAAGCTCATTGGTGTATCTCTTGCAGCACATAATATCCATCTTCTGGGATGATGCACTTGAGTGGGGGATGAGTGTACGACTTCTTGAATAGGTTTCCCTCGTACCAAACGAACCATTATGCTCGTTTCTTAATTGTTTCGGCCTCTTTAGGATCTTCTGGGAGTTTGTTGTCTCGCATGTATTGCATTATTAGATCCATACAAGTATTGGACTAGTTTAGGTAGTGAAGTGCTGGTGCATTGATGTTTGGCTACTTGAGAACTTCCCATATTATAGAGCGAGGGTAGTACCCTTGGGCAAAATAAGCCATTCGTGCGAGGGCGTCGGCTTGTTGGTTGTCATCCCTTGGAAGTTGCTTGATCCAAAATTCGGACAGGGGTAAAGCAGTTTCTTTTGACCTTTTTGAGATACATGCACATGCTATCTTTCTTGGCTTCAAATTCCCCTTGGACCTAGCTCACGATCAATTGGGAGTCGGAGAAGGCATTAACTGCCATAGCTCTAGCCACCTGGCACAACTCTAGCCCCAAGATGGGGGCTTTATATTCTGCCTCATTGTTTGAGGCGTTGAAGTCAAACTTGACTGCGTACTCAAACTTTTTGCTTCTTGATGATATGATTAAAATGTCGGCCCCGCTCCCTGAGGAGGAGCTTTCAACATACAACTGTCATGGTTTGGATCCATCATCATCAGGGCGATAAGTGCATTCGGCAATTAAGTCTGCTAAAGCCACTAGTGGAAAAAGCCTATTCGTAACGGGCAGTGGGCGTTATGTATACAACCGTTATGGATAAAAATATTATTTGTAATGGGTGCTTGCCCGTTACAAATAACCCGTTATTCGTAACAGGCACATTATTTGCCCGTTACGTTATTTGTAACGGGCAAATATTTTTCCCATTACGAATAACAGGTTATTTGTACCGGACACATATTTTCCTGTTACGAATAACAGGTTATTTGTAAAGGGCATGATATCTGCCCGTGACGAATAGTGTGTACCACAATTTTTAAAAATTAAAATCTAGCACATGATGTGTTGGATTAGCTAGCTTACACAATATTTATAGCACAATCATTTTATCAATTAATTGAGATAAAAATATATTTCATATTACATTATACAATCAGCAAAAGCCTACATTCATTATTACGAGTACCTAATAACTAAAACTAAAGAAAATAGAGCAAAAGAAAATCTCAATGGCAATAAGAAATTTTAATATTTTTCCACTAAATTAATGTTGAATCATTTACATCTTCCACCAATTTTTTCAAGTTACTGCAACTGCGATCTCAAATTCCGAATGTGCCTTAGGAACCAAATTCTGGCTTCTTGGTCCTTGCAATTTAAAAGAATAACATAATTAAGAAATTATAAGATTCTAGTAGAGAAGCCATAATAATAATTGGGATTGAAATTGAAGAACGAGTATAAATTATACCGTAATTAATTACTACTTATATCACCAACAAAAATTCTGGCCATGAAATCCCCTTGACAAAAAATAACTTGCATCAAACAAACAAATTGTACAACTACATACTATTTCAGTAATCTAGGACACAGAAATAAGCACTAATGAGTATCAAACATAGGCTGGAAACAAGAATAATTGATCCCAAACCAGAATGGAGCAGTGGTTAACAAAAAATTGTTTCAGATATGGTGAGTAGTACATAATGAAAATGCAATGCAAGCACGATCAAGGGTTTTAGCTATGCCTCTCTGAATAATTTAGAAGCATTAGTAGACCATTACAAATCTATAAGTCATGCCACCTTTTTTTTTTCTAGTTCCATCCAACCATTCAATCACACTAGTCAATAAGTAAGAGAGTACTAATACATTCTCAAGACTCAAAAACTCAATACAAGATTACAAGATACGAGTACCATTTTCAATGACACATACTAATGGAATCTATTTTTTTGTAGAATGATTGAAAAGCTACAATCATGAAGCACCACACACCAAAACCACAAGCAATCACAAACACCTGAAATGTAGAACTATAAACCTGACACATTGAATGGCAGAAGTACATGAAAGGGAAGAGAAGAGAGATCTATCCTGAAGACTAAACCCAAAAAAAAAGATATATATATCACATACCACAGCCTGAATGAACTCAGGTCGGTTGCAGGAGATCAAGTCGATCAACTGCATAATTTCAGTTAAACACTGCAATCGTGCTTATGCAATCTCAAACAAAAATTTTTAAAACCCCATATCCCAAAACATCGAATATAAATGAGAATTCATCAAATCCTAAACTATGGACAAAAATAATAGCAAATACTTTTAATAGTAAGCAATTCATTACCTAACACTCCAACTTTATCGTCTCCTAAACTTGACTCATAATTCACATACATGCAATAAAACCCCAAATCCCACGTTGAAAAAGAGTCCAATTTTCCAATACCTCACATTGTTCCACTTGTAAAACCTAAAATACAACACTTAAATCAACAAAACACCCAAATATTCTACAATGTATTCCATATCAACCCTTTAATCCTTAAATTCCAACATAAAAACTTCAAAAACTAGAATCAAATTTTATTCAAACAAAAACGAATAATATACACACAAAATAATGACAAATCTCATACGAAAAAAGCAGTTGTTAAAAATTAAATTGTTCGACCAAAATTGAGTTCTTACATATCTATTTCTTAAGATTTCAGTGATTTATAGACAACCCAAAATTCAACATTGATCACAGATATAAATAAAATCTCACCATAACAAACCTATGAGAATATACATGATTAAAGACAAAATCGATAAGCCCTATATCAAGTTCAATTTTTTCTGTATTGAGGGTCAGATTAACACGAAAATGCAAAAAAATTATCAAGCGACATCCTTTACCTCATCATCATCAAACTCAGCACCATACCCAACCTTCACATGGCCACAAAGCCCATAATACCTGAGTTAAATCCCGTACCCAGGTTTGCTCCACTGTACATTAGTAATTTGAAAGCTAAAAAACACAGATCTATATGATTTCAAGAAATCTGACAATGAAATGTTGTCAAAATTTAGTAATTGCGGTGCTGCATGTAATTGAGGAAGGAACTATTTCTATGGAGTAATATTGAATTAAAATCGAAAATCTGAAAACCCTTGGGTTCCGAAAACATGAAATTGCAAATTTGAGAAAAATAAAAACACGAAATAATGAAATTATTTAAAGAGAAAATAAGAAAAAAGCACGAACCTTCAGGGAAAATCATTTCGTGAGGGGGAAACGACGAGAGGTGGTTTGTATCAGCTCCTTGCGCCATTGCCACCGTTGCTAGGTTCGACCCACCGACGTGCCGTGAACATGAATAGAGGAAGGAGGAGAAAGAAGATGAGGAAGGAGGAGAGAGAGAGAGATTGAGAAAGAAGATAAAAGAAAGGATGAAAGAGAGACAGAGAAGAACGTTGAGGAACAAAAGCGACTGCGAAAGAGATTTACGACTGAAAAAAAATATTTTATAAGAAAAGGAAATTAGGAGCTGAATTGAACTGAACTGAAGTTCAATGTAAGAGAACAGACCCTTAGTTGTAACAAAATTAATATTTGGCCGATACAAATATTAATTATTTGTAACGGGCATTTATTTCTCCGTTACGATTATTAACTATTCGTATCGGGCAATTATGTGTCCGTTACAAATGACTTTTTTCCGTAACGGTCAAATATTTTGTTCGTTACTATTACTCTTTTTGTAACTAAATTTATCATGTCCGTTACAAATAACGTGTTATAAATGACAATTTTGCCACTAGTGATCTTGTGCTTTAATTGCCTTTCTAGGCTCCTATAAAAGACCAAAATTTGCAACCTGGTCTGCCCAATCTGTCATTCTGCTCGAGTGGTTTCTCCCTTCGATTGCTTTCTTGATGGGATGGCTGGTAAAAAATTTAATAGGTTGGGATTGAAATTAAGTATGGCTTCAACTTTCGGCTTGCCATAACTAGGGAGAACACCAACTTCTCAATTTGGGAATATTTTGACTCTGCTCCTCTATAGGCATGACTGACGAAATATAACAAATGTTGCGTCCTATCCCTCTCAGTAACCAACACGGTGCTGGAAGAGTATTCTGATATAGATAAGGAAAAACCAACTTGGGAAGAGAGTTCAAGTGCTCTTTTAACTGTTGGAAGGCGATCTCGACCGTTGCATCCCATTGGAATACTTTTATCTTGAGGGTATTGAAAAAAGATAAGCTCTTGTTCGCCGACTTTTGTAGGGAATAGTTTCAAGCCTTTAAAATCCCACTAGCTTGAACCCCATTGTGATCATACACTACCGTACGGTGGCGTCCAAAAGGGAAGAAGATAGAGCAAAAGAGTCGCCAACAAGTTTTTAAGGAACTTGTTTAACCGTTCACGAGGTGAAGGTTACACCCCTTAACGATCCAAGAGATCGTCAACTCCATAAGGTCATGAACCAAATAAGGGTTCGGGGATGAAGGTACAAATCCAACCTAAAAGAGATTGAACCTGCCCTAATAATAGGCCTCTACTTTATTCTGCTTGTATTCATGTGCGCTTTCTGACTAACATACAATCAATAGGATTAACCCTAAACCTGTTTAATCTATGTTGGTTGAATTTAATGCACAAATAAACTATTATGGGAGATCACTTGAAATTATAATCACAATTAACCTAACAAGATTATTAATTATCTTATTAAGCGTGGTTGCAAATACAAATTCCCTTTAACCTGCAATAAAAGGTGATCAAGACATAACAATATACAATAATATGCATATCAAGCAACATAATAAATAATCATCATCAATCATAATCATAAATATTAGAAAGAACATAGGAAGCATCATACTTTTAATCACGCTTAATATTAAAAACACCCTAGACATGATACTAAGAATCATAATAACAATCTAAGCATGATGTCTACATCATAAAATCAATTAAACCATTAAAGTACTTACTTGGATGCCTCGTACCTCTTTCTAATTACAAAATACACACGTTAGTAACTTCAAGGAAAATAATAAACAAAACAATTGAATTAAATAATTGAAATAGAGATTTGGGACCAAACCCTCAGAAATTAAAACCTTTCACGTCTAGGGCGAAGGCAACTTCGAATATGGCTAGGTGTATCAAGATCTTGTGAATGCGGAATTTTGTATGAAAAAGCAAGAAAGAAAGAATGCTAACAGATTAATGTAATCGAGAATTGATGAAAGAAAGATGATGAATGAATGAATGAATTGGATGAATGAAAAAGAATGAAAAAAGAATAAGGAGAATTGGTGAATGTAAGTGATTGTAGATTGTAGATGAATGAAAGCGGAGTTTTCTGAAACGATATTTATAAAGAAAATCGGCCAAAAAAGATAATTTATCAAAATAGAGCCTGAAGATCACATAACTAACTTGGCGCCAACCCTGGCTTATTGGCTCCAGGACCAGTGGCTAGCGCCAAGCGCCAATGGCTGGCGTCTGGCGCCAATCCTGGTTCCAGGCGCCAAGGCCTGGGGTTGGACGCCAAACCGGCTTTTAACACGTTTTCGAAAATCTGATAATTTTACCGTACTGGAAGATAAAATAATATAATTTCAGTCAAAAATGCTATTTGATCTAATTAAAACTCTAAAGAATCCTAATTGAATTAAGAATGATAAGACCTTCTAGAATTTTCTAGAAGACCAAAACCATTTCTAATTACATTAGGAATGATAAATCATATTAGGCCCTTCCCTAGATCATTGGGCTGTACTTAAAACTCAAACCGGACCCAGTTTAGTAAATTGGTCATAACTTCCTCAATACTCATCAGAATTGGGCTTATAATATATCGTTGGAAAGGTCTTTGCAAGCCCTATCCAACTACACCATTATTGGACCCATATCATGGACCAACCAAACTGGATCGGCTGTTTTCTTAAAATAAAGTTTTCAAAAACAGAGAGAAGAGAAAAGAAAAGAAATAAAACTTTCAGCAACACTAGACCTTTCCACACTTTCGTTTCATTCGATTATGATTCGACGTGAAAGGCACTCATCACTGGGTTTGGTTTTGGGGAGACACAAATGGGTGTCTACAGAAGCCCCCACTTTGACTGAGTTTGGAGAAACGCAAGTTTCGAAAACGAAAGTCAAAGTATCGATAGGGACAGAGAATGATTCAGAACGTTCTGCGATCCTAAATCAATCTTATAACGCCGATACCTGCAAAACTAGCATTAGTTAAACATATAGAAGAGTTAAGAAACGTGTATCTTGCACCGTCGAGCACACGTCTCTGAAAGTAACCGATTGCTGCTGTTGTTGTTGCTTTGATGACCTTCTACAAGCTAGAGAATGCCATCCCGCCTGAAAACCGCTACGCCTTGTAACTACTTCCAATTAGAAGATTGTTTTGCCTGAAACTACCTTCTCCGCTGTGATAATATTCCATATCCAAGGGAATACTATCGAAGATTGCTTCTCTTGAAACAATCCTCAGTTGTTTGTGACAAATCTCCACAATCTAGGGAACGTCATCTTGCTATTTGTTTTGACGATCTTCCACAATCTAGGGAACGCCGTCGATCAATGTTGCTACATCTTGAGCCTTTTCTTGAATCATAGTGACAACCTTTCCAATCATAGAAAAAGTCGTCGAAGACTGCCCATCTCGTGCTATCTTCTCAAATCTCGGGTGACAACCTCCACAATCTTAGCGAATGCCGTCGAAGACCGCCCATCTCGTGCTATCTTCTCAAATCTTTGGTGACAACCTCCACAATCTTAGCGAATGCTGTCGAAGACCGCCCATCTCGTGCTATCTTCTCAAATCTTTGGTGACAACCTCCACAATCTTAGCGAATGCTGTCGAAAATAACTTTACTTGAAGTCATCCTCAGTTGTTGCGATAATATTCCAAAGAAAATTACCAAAGACCAACACTTGTCGATCTTTAAAGCTCGCTCGAACTTTGTTTCCGCTATGCCTGTACGTTGGCGCTTTCGTTGCTTTGAACCTATATGTCGGTGCCTTTTCTGCTTTTGAGCCAATGCCTTAGCGCTTTAAGCTAAGTGAGACGATCTTTCATCAGGTCGATCACTTATTGCAATTGTAATCAAACTGACTACTTAATCATGTCAAATTGCTTATAGGGGCTAACTGGCGTACCAAGGAACCCGAAATTGCTGTATGAAGTCGAAATCACCTTTCTGGGAGGCTTCTAGCTCTGTCGTTGCTGAGATATTTCTGGCCCCAAGAATTGACTCTGTCGCCGAACGCTGTGATAGGGTCTTCCCTGTTCTGCTGCACCTGTATTTATTTTGACTATAGAACTTTGCCAATCTCTTTAATCATCTTAGGGTTGACCTAAGGCTTAACGTTGCTTGACTCATTGACTTGACACGACTCAAGGTATAAGCTTGACTCGATGTGATTGACTCGAGGTTGACTCGACTCAAAGTGAAAAGACACGTGTGACTCAAACCAAAGTGATATGGCACGACATGACTTAATGTGTACATGACTCGTGTGTGCATTGTAATGTGATCGTGCGACTCGAAAAAAAATGCAAAAAAGCAAAAAATTTCCGTCAATTTTGTGGAGGGTACCGACTTTCTCCTGAAAAAGAAAGACGCGAAAAAGAATCGAAAGTGAAGATGCATGTTGAATGAGCTTATCCAAATGTTGTTTGTTACTATCTCTCAAGGTGCAAGGATTAATCCATCCTAGGCTATCTCAATGGTTGACTCCATGATGAAAGTATTTGGGTAACTTAGGCATGGAGGCTAAGCACTTCATACTTCGTGATGCAATGACTATTATGATTGATGAGTGATGTTGATATGACAAAGCATGCTTCAGCATTATGATTTCATGACAAAGGGTTCCTAGGGGAATTATATTTGGTCATGTATCTGTGCAGTGTGTGATAGTGACACTAAAGTTAGGCCGCAAGAGCTAAGAGTGTGGAAAAAATATATTATTGAAAAGAGTCAAATGGTGGTGACTCTTAGGCTAGGCAAGCTAATAATATAAGGATCAAGCCCCCAAGTCTAGCTCTAAATGAATAGGGATGAGCATAGGGAATTCCTTGATATGATCATGGTGCAAGTGTGTGAATGTGAATATGAATGCATTTTTATTACGGCCGCACCTCGATGTGAGGTTGCCTACGTATCCGTTAGGAATCAGGCCGAACGTAGCTCTAGCCGAACCTCGCACAAGTGTGTATACCTCAAAAAAGGTCTTTTTAAGGGTTGTAACGTGGTTAGGCTAAAGGTATAAAGAAGATGGGGGTAAAGGCTCAAGACCCTAGATAAGCCCCCAAGGTGTACAACCTCACTTTTGAATCTTTGTATTTATGCTTGAGTTTCTACTCTTTTTTAGCTCTTTTTGCTTTAGCATTTATTTTATTTTTATAAGTGTGGGCAATCCCGATCATGCGGTCTATCACTCACTTGGCATTCATGTTTCTCAGGCACGGTACCG